GATTTTACACATTGCACCGCACATGTTACATATCGACGCAAACGTGGGAGTGTGAGCAATAATTCTAGGGCCATCAATCAATGATAACACTAAACTGATGAGCGGTAACAGCTTTTAAAGCTTTGCCTATGGCCAATTTTGGGTACAGTAGCTTTTTGCGATTTCCTGGGCGAGCACAATTTTAAAGCTTGACATGTTTGGTGTCTATTTGGGTAAGAATAAATGTTTTATAACATAACGTAGGGAAAACAGTTTTTTTTCAACATTTTCTGTACTTTTTTCATTATGTAGTAAAAAATAAAAACCCCAGTGGTGATTAAATACAACCAAAAAAATAAAAACTGCAATAATTTAGAGGTTGGATAAAAGTTTTGGTGTAGTTCAACACTTTTGATTAATTAGTTGAATAATACATTTTTTAATAGAATAGAATAGGATACATAACAAAAAAAGAGACGACTAAAGAGTAACGAGGTTCAGAGTAACTTGATTCCAAAAAAGTCTCTCCAAATGAGAATAGCAATATCAATCTTAACTGAAACATTAAATACCCTGTGACACCCCTTGCAACATCCCCGCACCCCACTCTTTTTTGCTTAATGTGTATACATATGTTTTATCTAGGTGTCTTGGTCCTATTGACGCCACAGGTACTCTATCACCTTCTTATTCCTCTGCCGATGGGCAGGTCCTGAATGCTGCAGAGAGCAGTGCCATGTAGTGACATAGTGCCTCTCTCTGCAGCACTTTCTTATGAGTCCAGGGTGGGCTCACAGAAACTGGGTTGAATTAAATTGGGAGTTGTTCAACTGGATGAAGTCTAGCGCTGGATTGGTGAGTGGGCCTGCGGGGAACAGAGTTGGAGAAGAGGTTAATATTGCAGCCAGAGCTGTGTTTGTATTGGATCATTGTAAGAGGGACCTTAGAATATGCATTGATATAATTACATACCATTTTAAAACATGCTAGCCATAAAGGAAAGAATACTATTACAGTTCAGATAGTATAACCGACAAATACTTTTTAATCATTGATATAACCTCTTAGTAGTTGAACTAATGAAAAAAATCCTCAAAGTAGAATGGAAGCCCAAACTTTTTTTTCTTTAGTTTTGTGCAAAGTTGGGTTGCCAGCTTTCTTTGCCATTTGTGTCCCATCGGGGAGATTTTTCTTTAATTCCTGTCCAATAGACACAACAGGACATGAGAGGAAATTCCTCCAAAATGAGGGATATCCCTGGGGGTCAGTAGGGTCACCAGAACTAGTGTCTCACTTGGATGATTGCCCCTCTATTCCTGTTCTAATGTCGAATAAAAAACTTGAGATTTTCTTTAACTTTCACTTTCAGTAATAATGGTCACCAGGATAAATAGAGAAGGCGAATCTCCCTAATGGGGATGCAGACAGCAATAACAACCTGCAACTCTATCCAACACTAAGCCACTTAAAACACAAAAGCCCCAACTACACTTGGGGATCGATGTGTTATTTGTCTTGGTTTTTATGTCCCTTTTTACACATATTTTTGTGTGTTTTAAGGCTTGAGCATTTTTGTTTCCGCCAATAGAAAGATAGTTATTAGGAGGAGGAGATGGTTTCTAGGCAGAAAAATGCTTGCTACTCCTATTTTTCAGGCACTCCAGTTGAAGACGGTTGGGGCCAAAAATGCACAATCATGCCCAAAAGAATTTCCTGCCCTGTTTTTGAGTGTAAAGTGACAAGGGGTACAATAGAATACCATTGAAATCAAAAGGTTGAGCATTGAAGCCCTTCTGGAAATGTGCTACAAATTGCTCAGGCATGAATTGGGAGTAAGAAACATCACAGAGATCTATATCAGAATGAAGCAGTGGCATACCAGGTGAGGAGGTGGGTTGGTGTGGACCTTAATTATTTATACACTCTGACATACCTTGCACTCTTATTACTGGCTAGTAGGTGATCATGTGCTGTGTCAGTGATGTCAATCCTCTCCTGAAGCTGCAGCTGTTCTTACAAAGCCCAAGTGCCTGTTTGGAGATAAGTGAAAAGTTTTTGGTGCCCATTCAATTGTAATGATTGCCTATTTGCTGACTGCAATTGACTATTGCTTGTGCATTGTATGTGATTGCCTGCTTAGAGCTCATGTATTGTCAGGATAGCCATTTTGGGACTACATATTGTGAAATCACCGTTATTTATAGCCATGGTGCACCACATTAAGATCTTTAATTTTGCTTTCTCTAACAGATAGCAGAAGGAGATTGGTTAATTTCACATATTGAATTATTCCACAGCATGAGGCAATATTTCTATTTTTTAAAAACATTTTTATTTTAAATAAACACTTTAGTAAAGCCACAAAGATAGGGTAAATGTTAGGATTGGGGATAGGTTTGGGGTGCAGACTGAAAAAAAGGGATAGCACTAAGGTTAGGGTTATTGAAAAGTGAATAATAAATGCATGTTTGGTATCCATATCATCACTAAAGACAAAAGACTATGTTGGAAGTTATATCCTGGCAGCACAATGAACTGTTTGCAGAAATCTGCAGAAGTTGAGTGTTTTTCTGGAGTAATAAACAGATGTTGAAACATTATTAAAGGAGAACTACGGGGTAAGTGTTTTTCCCCATAGTTCTCCTAAGGGTCACAGGAGGACATATACTAGCGTCCTCCCGTGACCCAAAGCTCAGTATATCGCGAGCTACAGCTTGCGGTATCTTGAGACTGCCGCAGCCGGGACGGATCCCAACAATGCTGTCGCGATCCACACAGCTGCGTGATTTACAGCTGGCTCTGCCTAAGGTATGCCATAGTCCTGGTCATAAAGAGGCCAATTCAGTTCAAGTCCCAGGGAAGTTCTAATACATAAAAACTTAAACGCTAAAAATCTAAAAGGGTGAAACGTAACGCTTGCATACAAATGCAGAGTCTACCAAATTCGATTTGTACTGAATGCATCGATTGCAGTGAAGATAAATGTAATGCAAGCCGTTTAGGGCTTGCCTCCACACCAATAGACACTCTTACCATTGCAGTATCTTCAAATGTAGAACACTGGGAAGGTGTGGCAAATGATTATCTTTTGAGAACGGTAACACACAGGATGGCAAAATTTAGCCGCTACACGTCAATTTCCTTAGGCAGTAGGGGAGAGATGAAAAGCAAAGAACTTCATAAGCTTTTCATAAGAAGTCACATACATTATATTGGAGAGGCACTGGGAAACACAATTTGCAGAACCGGGTGTCCTGGAAACTGGCCTAATCAGGCTTTACTATGCTGACAATTTGGTTTTTAGTTTTATTTTGGAGCCAATCACAAAATCTTTCTCAAGCCTTGGAAAAACCAGACTATGATGGTCTGCAGAGAGAAACTGCAGGATGGCAGCTTTGTGAGTATAAGCTATTATTTTGTGAATCTGGGCACCTCCCTGGTAGAGAGGAACATGAATTGAGTAGTGCCAGACAGGCTAGTATAAAAGTATTTATTTTCCATTGTGAATGCAGCTAACATTGGTTAGTAAAGCTAGCTGTGGCCATATTTAAAGCTAAACTACAATGTGGACTGTTTACTTGTCAAAATGAAAACAAGGTTGCTATCATTACAGTGACTAGAAAATTGCAGGCGACATAATACACATGATGTATTATTAGTTGTAATATTTATCCCGACATTGGCAGGTTTGGCAGAAGCATTTTACTTGATCTAATTAGTAAATCATTCTATGTCCATGCACTCTTGTCTTTCTAACAGGATCAATCTAATGAGTGAACACTGTGTACACAATTGGGGAAAAGTGAAGGTATTAAATAAAATATATGAAAACAAATATATAGTTGGATGTTCAATGGTGTACTTTAAACAAAAAGAGGAAAAGGTTTCTTACATAAAAAAAATATATATTTTGTCCAAGTCAGAACAGAGTGTTTCCAAAAAATTCTTAGCATGGTGAAACAAAATAAACTACTTTGTACAGAAGAGATCAAACATCAGTTCAGGCCACTACTAACAGATTACAGATGTTGCTATTGCAATACAAAACACGCACAATACAAACAGACAAAAAAAAGTTGTGTAAAAGCATGTAAAACTGTACAACTTTGGGAATCCTTTGCCTATACAGTACACGTAGGCCCCTTGCACACGGGCTCATCAGGAAAGGATCTGTGTACAGATCCTTTCCTGATCAGAGCAGTACGAAGCGGATGTCACTGCTGTGAGATCCGTGTCCGTACAGTTTTTTTCTTCCATTTGCGATGGAGGCCTTAGACCCCTTTCACAGTGGTGGTCCAATCGCGTCCACCTGATGACTAGAAGTAACTTTGTTCTATAGGACTTTTTATTGTTGTATACTTTTGCCTAACACTGTGTAGAATAGATATAAGATGTAACATATACAGTTTGAATGGTGCCTTGCACTGTGCATGCTTACATTTCTTATCACCTTTTCTTTACATCCTGTCTACTCACCTATGGTGGTTGACCTTCTTTAATTGTATCTGTACTATAGCAGCACCATTCACCTTATCTCTACATTTGATGTTCATCGTTACAAATCTATTTGTTTGCCTTTAGCTTCTGGTCCTATCAAGAGTGTGGATTTGTTTACATTATAGAATTGTTTAATGATTTAAAACAGTTAGACAGTTAACCCTTGCAATGCAGGATGGGCCCCACAGCAAGAGTTTTTTTTTGTATTCTGCCCAAAGTTGACCTTTAATGATTCTTTTAGTAAATACATAACTGCATTCATTGGCATTTTTTAATGCCTGCTTGGAGTTTAGCTTCAAAGTAGAATACAAGATATACTGTAAAATAAACATGAACCGCTCTTTCTTTCTTAAGCCAAAAGTAAAGCAGTTTGCTTTAATTAAGAAGGGGAGGAGGATATGTTAAGCCCTCTCTGACATTTGTAAATGTTTCCATTGACAACCCTCATAAGCTGCATGCCAAACATATGATTCAGGAGAAAGGCTTGGCAAAGTCCTAGGATCCCACAGCTTAAATACTGCAGGATCTGTTTTCGAAACATTTGGACAGAGCAATTTAGGATTAGACTTGAAAGCTCAGAAATAGACCTCGGAAATAAGTGAAAAGAACCCCTCAATATGACAATGTACTGGAAGGTATGTGCAGTAGTCGCGTTGACTTTATTTGCACTTGTATTTGCACAGCAGAGAAAAAAAGTGGGCGGCTGGAGTGAAGTTAAAGAAGATTCTTCTGGTGTCCAGAATGCTCTGAAATTTGCACAAGAGGAATTCAACAGAAACAGCAACGATGGATACATCATGAACATCAAAAGAACTATAAAAATTATGAGGCAGGTTAGTGTCTGCTTGAAATAATTAACCAATTATAATTGTTATCTGTCACTGTGCTAGGAAAAACATCAGGAATTGTCATATATTAGGGTATTTTCTTGTCTTGATATTTTAAATAATATGTTATATTAGTTTAAAGTTGAATTTGTTGCATGACTTAACATTTGCATGACTTAAATGAGAACTATGAGGTGAGTGCTTTTCACTGACCTCATAGTTCTAGCTAACCTGTGACAATGAGTCACAGGTCGGCTGAGTAGATCGGGAGGTGAGCGAACACATACCGGCTCTCTGCCGTGACAGGGGAGGGGCTGGATTCCCCCCTCCCCGCTCCGATCCGCCAGCTCTGACTGGTGGAACGGACAGGGGAGGGGGCGGGTACAGCTGGCTCTGCCTTTCGATAGGCAGAGCCAGCTGTCAGTCATGCAGCTGAGCGGATCCCGGCACAATTGTCGGGATCCACTTCAGCTGCGGCGTGTCAGTATACTTAGCCTAGGGTGACGGGAGGACGCTAGTTTGGGTCCTCCCGTTACCCTAAGGAGAACTATGGGGAAAAGATATATATATATATATTTTCTATTCCATTGACAATGGTCACCAGAACAAACAGAGAGTGTGCATTTACCCAGCGGGGACAGCAATAAAAACGTGACTTCTAATCATAAGAAATAAATTGGCTATGCATTGCATACACTTTAACTAAACATTTACAGAAAGAAACATGCAAGCTGCCATTATTGACCTTCTTTTGAGAATGTTACTACCCTGACTGTCTTTCGCTCCAATACTTTTTGAGTCACTGACCCAGAACAAGTTTGCAGCAAGTAATGTCAAAGTAGAGCCAGAACTGATTAATGTACTTGTTTGGGGTCAGTGGCTGCAATTATTGAAGCCATTAGAACAGCACACAAGCCTGGCAGTTATTAGGATTAAAACAAGTAACATTAAGGTGAATCTAAAGCCAAATCTTATTTGTTAGGCTAAAGGGAAGGAGTAGAAACCTTGTTGGGATTTTATTGCTGTCTATGTCAGCATTGGGGAGAATCACACTCTTCTCCTGTGCTTGTTATCACTGTCACAGCTACAGAAAATGACAGGAAATCCAAATTACAGTTGTCCTTGGAACAAAAGCTATGGGGAAATCTTATAATGTCAACATCTGAACCAGTAAAAACGCTCTAGTGAAGGGAATGTGAAGGGGAAGCACTTCACTGGGACACACACAGCAGAAAAAAATAAATGGAAAACCAGTTATAATCATTTGCTACACTTTAAAAAAAAAGTTAGATTGTAGATGCTTTTGGAATTTTGCTAAGCTACTTGTTTTAGGCTAAAGAAAAAGGAAGCTGCCATTACTTGTTTTTGAAAATGCATGACAGGCTGAAACTGCCATTCGTATCCTCCTTTACTACTTGGTGAATCATTGGTCTGGAACAACCATTTTTTTTCATGTCAATTGTGCCAGCACTTTTTGGACTGCTTGTTTGTTCCAGACAGGAAAGCCAACCTCCCACGAATATTTTTATTGACAAAACGCAGAAAATGTGCACATTTACACTGACAACCTCGAATATGACATGAACTCATAATGTGCTAATACCATCAATATTACAAACTATATTTCCAATTTAAACATCTAAAACAAACTGATTTTTTTAAAAGGCAATACATCATTGAGTGATAAGGAGCATGATAACTCTGCCACACTGAAGATTGCGCATCTAAATACAATCCAAATGGTGTATTAGAAAAGTCAAAGTGAAATTGTGAGATTATTATCAAGGGCATGTCTCTATTTTATCATGCCCATTCAAAAATACCACTGACATACTGACATCTCGAAGCCACTGACATGGAAGTGGGTCAGTTATCAGCACAACAAGGCCTAGATTGTCGGTCACTTTAGGTTAGATGATTTAGTTCAGGTCTCCTCACTCAGTCCACGTCTGTACCACAGTCTGCCTTTTAGGCTGCATTCACACCAGCAGCTGCACTACAAAGCACAATCTGAATAGCAGACCGCTGTATTTATTTGTTAGAGCTCCTCCCCCTCCCTGTTTAGGTACATATGCATGCCTTACGTGCATGTGTTTATTGAAATCAAATGGTGGGGGTGGCAGGGTTGATTTTATTTTTTTTGTTTTGTTTTATTTATTTTATTATTTTTTTAACTTTTGCTATCACAAATGGGCTAACAAGCTCCAATGTGATGGCATTTGGAGTTGACAGGTTCTCTTTATGGAGACATCAGGAGTCTATTAGATCTATTAGACTCCTGATGTCTCCCCTGCCCTCCAATACAGATGATCACACACAAGACTGTGCTTAATCATCTGTTACCTGGCACTTTAGCAGGGTTTTGACAGCTCTGAAGCAGGAGGCACTGAGAGCACAGCGCTCCCTACTTCATTCATCACAGAGCAGATCTGGGAATGGACAATCCTCAGTCTGCTCCTGCTCTCCATCCTGTCACTGTTTGCTGTGGTTCCAAGCCCCCCAGACAGAACTTCAAGAAATCTACAGGTTGATAACTAACATAACATACTGCAAGAGACAATCTTAGATGACTGACATGCTAAAAAAAAAAAGATGTATTCCAGTTCTTTCCCGTCCTGAGCCAGCATCACAATGAACTTGCCAAGACATTCTCCTTCTCCACATCCATTCCTGACCAGGAGTGGCTCATTGTCCCATACACCTTATTGACTGTTGACATGGTGCACACAGTTTCACATGGCAACAGACTGGTCACTGCTTAATACTCCCTAAAATGAACCTGTTTTAGTGTGCTGTGTATCAGCAATTTAGCTTAGTGTCCAAAGGGAGCATGCACAGGCCCGGATTTCCCACAAGGCCACCGAGGCCCGGCCTCGGGGCGGCAGAGTGCAGACGGGCGGCAGCGGTGACCCTGTGGGGAAGTTGCGGGCGCCGGTGTAAGGTATCCGGCGGCCGCACACTACGG